AGTAAGGCACCTGTTACTACTAGCGTGGCACTTGTTACTACTAGTAACACAAAACCACTAAGGAATCAGGATGGCCTGTGCACGAAGACATTGCCGCCCTTTTCTGGAGCGATGCTGTGACGGACTGGGTGCAGCTCATGGCCCGGACACCCAATACGACAGTTCTTGACGGCGACTAGGAGCAAAGGACGCTACTAGGTGCATTAAATCCCTCCTTTGGAGTTGCTAACCAATAGCGATGGCCTCCAAAGGATTTTCTTAACATCTGAGACATGTTGAAAGTGCCGGAGTCTTTTGCGAGTGCTTTCAATGCGTGCAACTCTGCTGACTCCAAGTTTGAATGGAGTGAATTTTCAATAAACTCTCGGAGAATTGGTGACCGCTTGAGGTGCAAGACTTTTTTCAAGCCTAACCATTGCCGTTGAACTCAAACCACTCCTGGAACGTTTTCATTTTCTGGATCAAGGCTGAATTATGCAGGTACATTGTCACTTGTTCATCTTCAAGTGACTTTGAAGACACGAAGGCGACACGAAGGCACTTTTCAAAAATAGATTTCTGAGCTGGGGTTACCCCAACCGCCTAATCAACGCAGTTTTTCGGAGTCCTTCTGTTTTGTATAGTAGTATAGTCGTCGAAGTGCTCTGCTACAGCATCACCCCAAGGAAACTGACGCTAGAATTGTTGCTTTTTGTATTGCCTTTCGACCCCTTCTTTCCAAAAATGGGGCCTGGGGCGGCAACTGAACCCATGGAAAGGTTCGAACGCTTGTGGCTTACAAGTCCGACCAAGCGCTGCTCTATTTTTTCGCAGAGACTTAGTTCCAAAAGAAGCTACCAGGAACAGGTGTATCGCTACTAGTAACGAGTGCCTTACTAGTAGTAACAAGAAGCTATTAGAATCAAATTAAACTTGCAGTTTTTATCCGTTGAGGTGGGTGGGAGGGACAATTCCTTTTCTCACGTGAGAAGAACTCATTACCCAATCCAGGCGCTAGTTTTGCTGCTCCGCAGCTTTTAGCTTCTCGAGTGGAAGACAAACCGAGGCTACATGGGGTGGTGAGTCCCACCACCGCAAATCGAGAAATGCAAACAGTTTTCTGCACTTAGCTCCTGGCATCGCTACTAGGAGCAAGGACGCTACTAGTAACAGGTGCATCGCTACTAGTAACAAGTGCCTTACTACTAGTAACAAGAAGCTACTAGTGGCTCCTGGCATCGCTACTAGCAAGGACGCTACTAGGGGCTCCTGGC